GTGTTTTATTATGTTTTAAATAAACACTGTTAAATTAATTAAAGCTTGGTACAGAAAATTAAATCGATTATGGCAGATATATAATAAATGAGTGTGTGTGCCGCGAATCGAATTGCAGGTGTTAGAAAGGAGGAAAATAAAATACATAATTCGCTTTGCAAAGTGCACAGATATTTACGCCAGAGCTGCCGTAAGCAGGATATTACAAACCAGTTATTAAAAGCATTTTACATGCGGTCGTATCTTTTCTCGCTTTTCGATCAAGTCGTCTCGCACACATAAAATGTGGTTTTACTCGCTTGTTTATTATCTTAACAGATACTCATATTCCTCATGAAATCCATTTCGGTTCAACCCCTTCGCGGCAGGCAGGTGTACAGAATATCATCAATTACGTCACTAATGTGTAACTCGAGGGACAATTTAACAAATATCCAAGCGGTGAATAAATTGAATAATCTGGGACGAGATGGTTTATGATAACACAGAAATGCGTGCGCAAACGTGTGCTTAAATATAAATTTCTTTAATATCATTAATATCATCAGATGATTGACTGGATTATATTTCACTCCACTCAATTCGCTTCTTATGTGCATAATTTTATTTTAATAATTTAAAATAGAGATAATAATAAATATTGATAATAAATATCATTATAAAATATCAATAATAAAATATCAACAATAAATAATAATAAAAATGAAAATTTTTATTAAATATCAAATATCAAGAGATGCTAAAAAAATATCTTCTTTTCTTGTGTAAAGTAATTCTATTTAATTAATATTTATTTTTTATGTTCTAAATATATGTTTAGAAATTGAGCATAACTATGAATATAACTATAATAATGATGTTATATAATACTACGTGAATTAGTATATAAATAACTGTGGGAAGATCCACACGCATGTTCGACATGTATGACTGCTTAAGCGGATAAAATTAACAGATTGGCTAATAGGTAAAATTACTGGCTCGGATTTCCAATTTTACGTGTGAGGTGAAAAGTGAGCCTTGTCATAAAAATATTTTTAGTTATCGAAACCAATACGAGTGGTAATTGCTAGGATATTACACCGTACTCTCTCGAATATTGCACAACGATATTAGACATTCGAACGGTGCGACAGGATTCGCCAGTTGCAAACATCGATCGATGTCGCCTCATCTATTTCTGTTAACTCTTGCAAGTTGTTTGAAGAAAAATATTAATCATAAATATTTAAAAAAAGAAAATGAGAAAAGGAGAAAGGGAAGAGAAGATTTCTCATTGTCTCTTCTTCGCGATGCGGCTTAATCCGAAATTTTGCAACGAGGCGCGTGCACACGCATGTTTTCATGCAGATTTACAGTTGGATTTATTCGACACGTTTCGTCGTGAAAATCCGTTAAAGTGTCATAAGAGCCGCGTCGTGCACGGCAATCGCGCCGGAGCTGACGTTATTAAATGCAATTGCGCAACTCGCGCGCGAGAAGCAGCTCCAAAGGACGCGCTGGGCATTATGACATCGTGGCATGTAACGCGGCCTCTACGGGGCCCGCTACGCGTCACGCCTGCGGAGTGTGCCTTTGCGGTTTTGTATTACATGTAAAACGCCTGCACACGATCGTACAGGGGCGTACCTTACGATCAGAACCCGATCTCGAAAATGCCGCTCGTCGATTTTTTCTCCGCGCCGCAGAACGTCTTTACGATCCTACTTAACTAACAAGCGGATGCTCGACGATACGCGATTGGTTGGATATGCCGGAGAGTTCCATCGTTTGTATCGTACATAAATTTACAGGGAATATTATTAATGCTTACTCGTTGCATATAATTGCCGATCGTCTTTCTGGAATATAAAAACAGGTAAAATTGCAACGTGAGGACTAAAATGGATTTTATATATCTGTTTAAACTCTCATGAGAGATGATTATGTGAACTCATAGTTTTTACTGTTATAAATATCACATTATTTTATTGTACATGGCACATTATACATTATGTATTAAAATTCTATTATAAAACTCTTTCTCTCCCTAATGACTGTCATAATTAAACGACAGGAATATCCGCATTGCAGTGCTGCGGTAAAGTGTGACAGTCTATTCGCGCGATTATTAATAATGCTATCGACGTCTTTCCATCATCGGAGCAGGAAGCGAGCATTCACTGCACATCTCGTAGATATCTTTATTTAATTAATTCAATTGGCATTACTGTTTTATTGTTTGACGCGACATTGCATAGGCAGTAATTTAAAAAGACGGACTTCCTGCTCAGACGCATTCTCGCACGAGCACCTGTCGCACTTGTGGAAAATATTTTTACCTCGAATTTTTTATCTGCCGAGGGACATTTGCTTATCATAATCAAGTCAACTGACATTGACGTGTATGATTGTACGTAGCATTAATTGCTATTTGTAACTTATAAGCAAGATTATACATTCGATTATCTTCTTTATCCTGAAGACGATTTCGAATTAATCAGGATGTCTATGTCATCACTTTTAAATAAAATAAAAATACATTTTAATGTAAATTCTTGTTAAAGAAGTATAAAGAACGCGTCGTATATCAAATTTTCATAAAAAGATCGAGGTTTAAGATTAAGATTATTTTGATTAATAATTGAAATTTTACGAGAATGTGGAATATTTTTTTCTCATTCGCTCAGTTCTTTTCGATTTTCGAAATCTAAGCCGAAGATAAGATCGTGATTTGCATAATTCGTCATCTTAATCCTGCATACACAGATACACGTGTGTGTATATGTACTTACATCTCTGATAAGCGCACGCGCGATTTATGCGATCGCCTCAGCCTCTCAGCTGACTCCTCTCTCGAAATGCGGCATGATTTGTTTGTAGTCGTGTATGCATATAGTCCCTAACCATTCTATAGGAGACAACGAGGCTACCACCCATCGGAATGCAAATTGTGACTTTAACGTTGTGCCGATAGTCTCCTCTGGAGTCGGCCTGAAATGTTTCAACGGTCGCACCACAGCTGCACGTTTTTACATTGGATTATGCATCATGCCGAGGCGCATCGTCTCCTACGAAAGGAACGCCTTTCCTTTTCCCGCGCCGACATTCTTGTCAAAGTTTTCTAACAATTCTCTCCTCTCTGCATCATTTTTTTCATTTATTCAAACATATCGCTGTGAATTTTTGTGTACACATAAATTATAGCTTTTTTCTATTTTATTTAAACTCTGGTCACACTAGTTAATAAATTGTTTTATATTTTCATAAAAACTTATTAATGAAAATATAGATTTATATAAGAAATAAAAAAAGTCTAATAATTTTTACAAATTAAATTTATAAATTTTGAAAATATAAAGGAAATTATAAGATAAAAGGTCAGAAATGGAATATATTATATAGTATTTTATTTACTAGTAATTATTATTAGTAATTGCATATGAATTACACGTGTATAAAAAATATAGAAGTAAATGTATTTTTATAAGCAAATAAACATATCCATAATAAATATATCCATAGATATTTATGGATAAATAAATAGGTTATTGAATAAAAATGCTGTCTCGATTTCAACATGTATGAAAATGATTCATCTGTTGTTATTGCACAAGAGATTGCTTATTAATTCACGATGCATTTTAGGTTTTCGTCCAACGTCATGTATATATGAGAAACGTGACTCGCGCAAGTACTGAATATTCGTTTTGGAGGATTGGCGCATTGTGCTCGGTTAGCACGATTCGTGCTTGCAAACTTATTAAATAACCAACAACGAAGGATTACGGTCGTGTATACCGTTCCTTTGGGTGATCTCGATTTCCCTCTTTTTCTATTGGCATTCCCGACGGAACAGCAGGAATGCCCAACGATCCAAATAGCCAATCTTAATTAGAATTTTTCAATAGGATTTATGTTTCAATCGTCCACATTCCCAGCGCGTCTGCGAGATTGAAGTACGTCGATGAAACCGATTAAGACAAAAAAATAATTATTTCATTCGTTTATTCACATCGCCACCGAATAAAGATTCAATTTCTTTTCTCAGGAAAAAGAGATATCAATTCATCTGCTTAATCTCTCTCTCTCTCTCTGGTCGCTTAAAAAAGGCTACATTACATATTATAGTTGATCGAGGATGAAAAAGCGTGCGCGTCTCTCTCTCTCTATTGATCTTTTAATTTTAAAAACTCCATAGTCACTTCATCGTACACAAGCGATTCTTTTCTGCTTATGCTATATTTCAATCTTTTCATGGACCAAATCATCGAAAATGTTATCGAAATCGATATCGGATTGATAAGAATGAACAATCGCCGTGCGCGCCTTAAGGGTAAAGTCTTTCAGTCCGATCCGCTCGAGGACAAATCATCTTCCAAAGAATCGTGTGCATTCTATATAGTATCCCCGCGTCATGAATGACATGATGTAAATGTCGGTGTATGGCCGTGGTAAAGGCTCGCGAGAAAGGTTGCGTATATTCGACACGAGGAATTAATATAGAAGGATTACAATTCTCTCGAAGGGGAGAGAAGGAAAGGATCGGATCGAGTATTCCCGAGATTGACACCCTCTTTTCGAGACGCCTTTGCGAAACGAGCCTTTGATGAACGATCTACCTGGGCGGTCTACCTGATCGTTGGATGCGGCGCAAAAAGAAAAAAAATGAAACTATTCCGTGCGCGATTATTCATGCGAGATTACGGAAATTGATAAGACTCGCTTATATCGATAAGAGCGTATTCCGACGCTTGACTAGCATAGCGAAGGTGTTTATTGGGCCTCACGGCTATGAATGACTGGAAATTACGCAAAGCACGCGGTTGCTTGCTAAGGTTGCTTTGATGCGCCACACAATATCTGCGGGCGTATCTGTTGTTATCCGCCTCTTACGTGTATATCCACGGAACTGAAGATGCAAGTCGGCATGTCACTGATAACGTTTGCACGTATCGTTTCTCTCAGAAAACAATTACATAGCATTATTATGAAATTGGTAATACTTATCTTTAAAATTTGGAAAGAGTTAGTGCCATTTCAACTAGAGAAAAGAGAGAGAGAGAAAGAGAGAAATAAAAACATTCCAGCGCAGAATCTCATTTTGGTAAACGTTGAAATATAGCGGCATTTTTCCGGATAGAATAAGAAACTTTTGTTCAATTACATTTTCACGAGAGCCATACTTTTTTCCGTGGCCACTTTCAAAATTAAACCTCGTTTTTCCGTCACGTTTTCTCGTCCGCTGAATTGCTACGTCTGTTTCAGGACGTCTCAACCATGCAGGTGGATTCGAAAGACCAAGTGACACGCAAAAGGACAAGAGATTATCAGCCAACACACGCGTTTCCCTCCCGCTCTGTCAACACTGGTAAGTTAGGAAAATGTCAAAAGTGTCAAGTCTTGCTCGGCGAATTCTCATAGAGGCGAAAGACAGCGGCTCTCTCGTACGAGCAGCTTAACCAGCGTCTAATTATACAAGCGATAAAAGTCGGATAGATTCTGTACACCAGAGAATTGAACGATCATCCCCGTTTCACCCGCGATTGCAAGATGCGACTCGACACGAGATACAAAACGGAGATCCCGAAGAATGCGTCGCGTAACGGTCACGTAATTATTTCAAGGACTTGGCGTCGGTGTACTAAAAAAAAAAAAAAAAAAAAAAGAAAAACGAGTCGTAACAAATAAAACTGCGTTTGCGATTCGCGAAAATTGTAAATCACCTGACCTTTTTTGGAGCGCCGACCACACAAATGTCAGAGTTGAATGAACGATTTCGGAGAGTCGGTCATCTCTCTAACAACTGGTAAGTAAATATATAAAATTGAGAAATAAATTACAAAAAATTTCTTGAATTAAAAATATAATTTACGTCAGGGGAGGTATATATAATACGATACATATAGCGCAATTTAACAGACTGGTTAAAGTCATATTTAACTTGCAAATATTCTTACATCTGTGTGAAAAAAAACAGGAAAAAATGTTTTAAGTGTTTTAAGATAAGATTTATATGCATACAAAGATTTCGAAGACTAAACATTAGAATTCTCGGAATGTTTTCAAGTCGGAATATGCAAACGATACAAAATTGATGATAACACGACACTACGAAATAACACCATTATATCGATTTCGGCGAATTTTGCAATAAATTATTTATGACTGTTTATGGTTTATCCTCTCTTTTTCATTGCGCTTCTCTTCTAGTAATCTATTCGCGGATTTATGATCTGGCGATAGTCGTAAAAGTCGAAAGTAGCCGGTAGCGATCGCAAAGGTCAATACGCGGTTCAATGTGGACGCCGTCACATTACAGAAAGAAACGGGAAATATTTTATACGTAAACACTAGATTCGTTCAACAAGTTACGAGAATTTCGATTTCCAGGAATATTGACACGCGCGCGAGTTGAAGCGCGAGTTGACGTTATATGGGTACTGCGCAATAATCTTTAATTTCTGCAACTTTTGCAAACCGTGAATTGTCATTGCAATAACCTTTTACAACATAATTATAATATTATAAATGCGACTTCCAAAACTTAATCGTGTATGAAAGAGAGTTATGCAAAAGGGATAATAAATATAAAATATACAAAAGTGTCTGTCTCTAAAAGCATTCAATAAATATACAATCATCATTAACTTTTAAGCAAGACAAAAATATGCAAATTGTAATAATAATGTGTAATGAAACTTTCTAGCATGTAATGAGGTGTAATGAAAAAGATATGGAAAAAGGATTTGTGTGTAGATTATGAAAATATATAAAAGATAGAAAAGATGGGAATAAAAATAGTTAATATGCAATTACATTCATTACATTCAAATGTACATATGTTAAATATATACGAATAGACACGAAACGTCGCGTCGTCGCGACGACAGCTGAATTACGCGCGCGGATCGTGTTTAGGATTATCCTAACGTAGGTTAAATTCAACAAGCGGCTTATCAACGACTTGACACGAGCGTATAAAGTATAGGTTTCCCGCATACATGCATTACTCTAATGCGCTATCGGGCTGCGTGTCGCGGTGTTATGAATGGTGTGAGGAAATCGCTGCGACGCCATGCCGATGCAACCGTAATCGACCTAGACATTGCATCCCTAGACACGCATCCAATGCTGGAGCGCGATGCACTTTGATCCACTTCGGAATCGCGATCTTATCAGTCGCGTCGCAAGATTTCGACGCGAGATTTCCATCGCTCATCTTCAATTTGAATAAAGAAAATATTGATCCATTCGCTAATAAAAGCTAAGAATTTAATATGTTGAATGTTGCAATTTTGTTTGATCTCTCTTAACGTTTTTATCGAGGAAAAATTAATTTTAAATTTGATGATCTTTTAGAAAAAAGATCTGTATATGTGAATAAATATTATAATATATTCCAATATTAATAAAAAAATTTTTTTCAATTAGGAAGAAACTCTGAAAGCAATTGAATTTTATCGTAGATTTGCATGATTCTATAATAAAGAACTGTATTACATGTGCATAGTTTAGAAAGTCTTATACATTCTGTATACCTGGCTAAAATAAAAAATAAATTTTTTCTTATTTTGCTCATTAATAAGAAAATTGACAAATTGAATAACAAACAATAATGACATTCTAAAACAAGAAATATTTGTCTCTACATTGTTTCTATTGAGAATTATGAATTTTTCATTTAATTCTTGATGAGAAAAAAATATATTTATGACTTATGGGGCGGGAAATCCTAAACGATATCTTGTGTATCCCTTCTCGCGAAGGATGTGGACCGGATATCCGATCGCAAGGAATGTACCGGAATCAATCTCCACCGTTTACGTGTCCGGTGGAGAGGGAAGGGAGGGGACTGACGTGGAGTGAGTGAAAAAAAAACGAACGGAGTCTCGACTCCTGATTCATTCCAGGCATTTTTCCGAAGATGCACTGGCCAGAAGAAGAAGAAGTGTATTGTGAAGAGAGGGCAGGGATGACCCCTTTCACTGCACCACGTTAGCATCGTCGTGTATATAAAGAGCCGAAGCATCTGACGAAGAAGCACAAGTACCACCAACCCATCTGCATCTCAAGCAAGAAGACTCTTCTGATCGTCGGACACCCGTGTGTGACAGAGAGATTATGTATACTATTAAGGTAGGTACAACACACTCGTCGGGCGCGGCTGTCCGCTGTTGAATCACGTCTCGTCAAGATCGCACCGTTTTCCCGCGAGCTGTCAGATATCATCATGTCGTCTTTCACCGTGATGCGATAGTTAGACGTGTGCAAACTAAGGGAAGAGAGCGAGAATTGGGTCTCGGAAATTCCGGGTCATTCATCATGCGCGGAATCGCGTTTGCGTTAAGTAACGACGAATGTCAGGTACCTCGGGCGAGAAGACATTTCGAGATTAGTTTAAGCGGAACCGGACTAGAAACCTTCGAACTTCACGCGCGATTTGTCGCCGGCGATACAGAATGACATTACGACGAGACGTTCAAGTTGCGCAAGTTTCACATCGCAACGTCTTTGACGTTATGCACTTGTATAATTAACCGTCGAGTTGAGAGAGAAAGAGAGAAAGAGAATGGTGTCGCAATAAGTCTGCCGCGATAAGTTTTATCGATTACTAATTACTTAAACTTAAATAAAGTGTCTCGGTCGCGTGTTTCTTATAATCCGGATCGCTAAAAAAATGAATTGCAAACTGCGCATTTACATGCTATATGTTGCAAGATAATGAAAGAAGATTGATATCGGTTATTATTATAAACATGAGAAAAATATTTTTATCTTCATTAAAAAATTCGATATCAGCTACAAACGAGAGATGTAAAAATTAAAAAAAAATGAAAAATTGAAATATTTTTATTATTTTGCAAAGAAATTTATGACAGATAGTAGATAGTCAGTCGAATGATCCGTCAAATCTAAGGAAAAAGTCATCGTGCATTGAACACGATCAATGCTATGACTCGCGTAGATTTCGTTTCGCACTGAATACAAACGCGAAGCGAGCTTATCGATAATGGAGGGAACGTTAGATAGCTTTTTCAGCGAGTTATTATAAGGAAGACTTTCGTGCTTGCATTTACTCCGCTCGGGAAAATAAATTCAAACGCCATTCGGGATCCTCTCTCCTCCGACGCGAGCGTCCGATATCAGCAGAATTTTTCACGAGGAGCCGTTCGCGGAAATGAACCGATAAACTTTGTGCGACTTCGGCAATTTTTCCGACACGCTTTCCGTATATTAATAAATATGAAATACGCGTAGCTGTTAGCTGCTCTCGCGATAGCGAAAGCGACATATTCGTATACGTATGCATCGTGTATCTCGCACAGACGAACCTTCTCCCCCCAGGAAAAAAAATTCTTAAAAACTCTAAAATATCACTGTATCCGAAAATGCGCCCTTGTATCTTATAAGTTACATGCCAGAAACACGCGCGCGTCCCCTTTTGCCGTTTACATAAAAATGTGTTATCTTCTAGTTTTGAAAGTAAGGAACTTCGCTCGTATAGAAGCTTTGATATTCAATACAACGCGTTTATATCGCTCAAGGATGGCGTAAAAGTACAAAGACGTATCGCGAAAACCCGCGAACCTTCGTTCCTATATATAGATACAATAGAGCTTATTCTCACCTTAACGCCAAATCCGGCTGTCTGGTTCTAGATGCCACATGCGATGTACAAAGCGTTAAGATTCATAATGGAATAATACGGACGTTGCAATGCTCTTTGTAATTTCGCTTACATAATGCGAATTATAAATAAAACACGCGTTTTCGTAACAGTAGATTTTTGAAAAATAAAAAGAAATAATTAAACGGGAAGAAAAATATATTTATTCGTGTCGCGATGCTCTTATGACACTTGCCGCACGTGTCTATTTACAGTTTCTTCATCCTTTTGTAATATCGTTGTGTTTCTTCGTCGTCTAATTCGAGGGTCCGCGTCACTCTGCTAATGATTCTATTTTATGCTAAAACGTCTGCAATGTATTCCCGCGTCTTTGTTTCCTCGCAAGAGGGTTGCTCCGCAACGCTAAAGTATTGTCAAGTATTGTCGGTCAAGGTGAGATAATAATTTTAACGGCCATTTTAAGTATCATTCATATATTACTCGTGACGTAAGTGTCATCTGTGATGCATGTGGTGCATACATACCGAATAAATACAGAATTGCGAATATAATTGTCATAATGAATGGGACACTCCATGAAAATTGCGTCATACGGTGCATACTTGGCGACACTTTTTTCTTTATAAATGATAATGCACGCACTCTCTCTCTCTCGCAAAGTGCATTCGTCGGTATACGCATATGTATGGATATTATTTTTGATGATCCGTTTCGTTAAGAAAACGAGCTGACACAATTCTGCTGTACGTCATTTGTACGGTTAATGATCTGTTAATTATGATTATTTGCGGGAACGTTACGAAATTCGGAACAGATACAAACTGTTTGCTTATAGATAATTAATGCAAATTTTATTATTTACATCGCATTTACATGTTAAAATGCAAATTTCAAATATGTGTATTTTATATTTGCCGTAGATTATGTAGATAAACGATTTTACGATTTTAAGAGTTTTGAAACATACAATTTAATTCAAATGCAAAAATATTTCGACAAGTTTCGGACATGGGCAAACATTTGTATGGTATATGTACGCGTAAATGTATATTTTCAAGGTAAATCGTTTGATGACTTGAAACGGAAGTGCATATTCTGCTTGCTTGCAGAATGTCATTGAAATTGGAATCCTCAATGTCAGCTCGTCGAGCGCAAGGTATATCGGTTTCCCGGCAATCTTCAATGAATATAACAGCATTGCCTTCATAGAGATGAAAAAAGAAGATTCCTATCTTATATCTCGTTAATCAAATTTTATTACCGTTCTTTAGCACAATCGGCTCCTCCGAGAGATTGTTTTCAAATTGCAGCAATGCAGCCTTACGAAACGTGAATCTGATTACCGTAGTTACAACGTAATCAAGCTTGTTACAAAGATCAACATTGTTAACAATCTTCCACCTAGAGGTAAATGCGAAACTTCGATCTCGTAGCTAGTTCTCTTTGGTCTTACGAGCAAGATCTAAGGAATACTTACCAACTTGGCATGCAGGGAAATTCGAGTGTCGCTTTTCGAATATTTTTCCTGCCGGCGAACACAATTTAAACGGTCCTATTTATATAGAAAGTCTCTCTTTGGTGAACTCAATTTTCCCCTTGAATTCACATTATCATGTATATATTACAATATACGTAACTACACGATGTTTGCTGTATCCGTTAAACAACATTATATACTGAGAGCTGTTATACAATGTCGTCATTAATATTAAAATCAGCTGGAGAGAATTCAATATCAGACGTCTCGAAGGAAGGTTTCCCTGCGTGATCCTGCGACCTTAGAAGGTATATAGAAGCGTTTCTCCCTCTTTCATAATCCACGTCGCATATTATATGTTACCCAGAACCGGTGCTTCGACACGATGCTGTCATTACATGATAATCCTTGCCGCGTCGTCACTCGCTTCAACAACGAGATTTTCCGCACTTTGTCATTTTTCTCGATGGCTTAATAACAGGCTCGCCGATCAATTAGCATTTTAAATAACAATTCCGTTCGCTGAGGTAACAATTACACGAGCGCGAGGCGTGAAGTAATCATCTCGAGATACTTGTAACCGAGAAGAAAAGGGAGGAGAGGATCTTGCGCGAGAAATTTAGCGTCTCGAAATGCGCCGTTACGATCATTAACGACGCCGACCTTCTGCCTCCCTCAAAATTACACGTATCGAAAGGTAATTAGCAATCTCCGGTTGACTGGTTAACGGGAAAGCAAATGTCGATCTTCGATATACAAGCGTAGGTAGTTTGCATAAGTAGTTTTTTCGATGAAAATGTCTGGCTCGTTTGCGAATATCTCGAATGTATCCTCAAAATGAAAGGTTTAAGCTTTGTTTTTTTTTAACTCTTATATAGTATAGGTATATATACTTTTAATTAGAAACATTTGCAGAGTTTTATTTTTGTTTCGGAGAAGAGCAAAAAATATGGAATATGTTTTGATTTCAAATTTGAATTAAAAGCTTTAATTTTGATATAGTGTGTTTTGCAAGATTTGGGATGACTGAACAAATTTGATAATTCTTTCTTTTGCTTGTTAGGATTAAAATGCACATGATGTCGCACAAAAATCATGATTGTAAATTACACGTGACAGCTTCGTTAATCTACAGGCTTTACTGGGACGGCTCTTTAATCGCTCGTTGCTCGATTAACGGGAAATCAATCGAAACGATTCTCTGATGCGCATTTCATTGCATGACAGTCATGTGTTTGAATTGGAATTCAAAAATCCAGCTCGGTTGAAATTTACATAGGAAACGAGAAAAGGGGACAAAGAGATACGCGCAAACTATTATTAATTGAAATTAACTGCGGGAGCTTGAAATTTACGAATTCGCTTTGCGCGGATATCTTTCGTATATTAAGCTTGAAAATAGTTTGTCAGTCATAGTATTAGCACAAGCCAATTTTGTCACTATTATTTCTAGTAGAAAGTTTAACAAGGTATTATTTTGAAAATTTACAAAAAATTAAAAAAAATAAAAGTAAAAAATCATGTGCAACACTTATAACATCTATTAATATGTTTTTATCCATCAATTTCAATTCTAAGTAACTCAAGGAGAGATACGTGTAATGTACTATAGGTTTTTAATTTTAATTTTCAAAAACAAAGCAACAATGAGATGAGTAATTAATTAAGACCGGTTGACATTTCTGACACGATGATTTGTGGTCGTTTCCAGCTAGATTGAAGTCTGATGAAGTTCGTGAATGAAATTACACGTTCACTTCGTGTTCGTGTACAGAAAAACGGGCGCGTTGCTCGGCACCACTTTCGTCTTGTCATTACATGCTGTATTTCATAATGTCATTTGCAACTGACGTAACTGCGCCTTGCAATTTCTAAGCATTATCATCCTTAGTTGCCCTTTGCAACCGTGCCCCACATATATACATATACCCTCACACACACACACACACACACACACACACACACATATATATATATATACATGTACAAACAGACACATACACGATCGACCTAATTCGCATATACCTACTTTTACGAATTCTATGAATATTTGAGCGAAACCGAAAGATTTTGCTGACACGCGGTATATCGAGGACTGAAATTCCATTGTCCGAGAATCTTCCCATTTATCTCGCAAAAGTAACCGGGGATTCCGATTACCACAGTTTGGCATCAAAGGGAATCACTGTCATTGCCGAAATTCACATCAATTTTCAGAGGAATTCGCAAATTTAATCCATCAATCGTTTAATAAACTTGGTTTTTGTCGAAAGCGACTAACATAATTACGTTGTAATCGTTTTTTCTTCTTGGTTGGTTAATCTTTTTGCGCGAAAATTCCACCGCGATGCATCGTTATTATGAGATCGTGAAAATTACTCATTCGACGCGATAATAAAATAACACGCTCGCGCATTTACGGTCCGCCGGCATTGAGACATTAAAGCGACATTACGCGCGCAACGTGAGGCAACAGCGAATTTTCCACGCTTGCGAAGCGCGATGAGTTCGAATTCCGCAAGTTCCAAGCTAGCGATGACTTTCAACGAGGCACCGCTTTATCTCACTCACGTATATGTCGTGTCGTTTGACAAAAGTATTCTTTTTTTTTCTTTTGTAGAATACTCCATTCTCTTAATAGATAATAATTTGTATTCTACAAGATTGCGGTATTGTTAAGTCACTGATATAAGATAATTATTGACAGGTGTTGGTGGCAGTCGTACTTTGTACGACGGGCACATTGAGCGCACCACAAAGACCGTCGGGTGGCGCGGACAAAGATGCGGTAATCACATCTCAGCAGCTCGAAGTCGGCTTCGACGGTAATTACATTAACAAGTAAGTTGCGCCGCCAGAATTCTCCATTACGAATTTCTCAAAACAATTTTAATAACTAATGATAATCAAAGGAATATCTTTTCATTCGATATAAAGCAAACGTAAGATGTGTAAAAAAATTTTTTTATTGTAACAAGTTCGTCCGTCATAGAAAATCCATGTTTTGGACAAAAATTCTCCACAAACATTCCGCGCAACCCACGCTTGACATTCGCATAGGTATCCTTTTCGCCTACCGATCGCATACACGAGGAAGACAATAGATACGGAGAAGGTCGGCAGATGCCTGCATATATCAGGTACCTGATGACACCGGTTTGCTTGGCACAGCTGCCAATTGTCGCCCACAAATGATCTGCCTTCTGCATAACTCCATTGTTATGCGCGAGTGGGAGCAGTCGCTACTGTGCCGAGGACTTTTCTCCTCTCTCCACGACTGTTTCTATTTTCTTCTTCGTGTATCGTTCTGGGACCATCTGTGGTCGCGTGACGCCTCTCGAATTCACATTTTGCCCTCATGTGAACCGCGCTTACATTCCTCCCTGACGATAACATTTAATTTCTTCTCAACCTAATCGTGTAATTATTTAACTACCTGTTAAACTTATTAGTAAGGATGTAAAATCTGGTAAATTGTAGGGATAAGTTTTCCTGGGTATATTTGCAATTATTAAATTAACAAGGATGTCTTCGTATTTATACATGTCTACACATCTCTACATTTAAAACATGATTTAAGAAAATCGACTTAAATTTTCTGTGAGCATAAATATAAAAAAATTATGTGATATTATTATGACACTATTGTTACGCTAATTGCATTGTCATGTCAGCTTCGAGACGAGCAACGGGATCAGTCATCAGGAAACAGGTCAGCCGAAGAATGTGGACAACGAGACGCCGGTCGTCTCACAGGGTTCGGACGCGTACGTAGCTCCGGACGGCCAACAGGTCAGCATCACGTGGCTGGCGGACGAGAATGGTTTCCAGGTGCAAGGCTCTCACATCCCGACGGCGCCGCCCATCCCTCCAGAGATCCAAAGGGCGCTCGAATGGAACGCCGCTCATCCCGAGGAGGACGACGGAGGTGACCGCCCGAGACCACCACCAAGAGGTAACAGACTCTCGTTGTAAAGTCACTTCAATAGGACGAAGACTTTGGAATTTTTTGTTTGCATGTTTTACCTGCGGATTATCTTGCGGCGATGCATCAATAAAGATGGAGATTATCCTGCGTTTCGGTGATGCAATAAAAACATGATCTTAAATTGCGAATATAACGTATATAATCGTGAACGTTTTAATATTTCGACATTTAATTAAAATTGTAAGATTTAACAGAAATAACTAAATCTGTTAAAATATTTGCTTAAATAAGTTACAGTGCGAAAAAAAGCAATAGATTTTTAATTTGATACGAAGATACGAAATAATACATATATACCTATCGCGAAACGTTCGCATACGAGATTTATCGCGAGCTCGAGAATATAATTAGGGGAGATTAATAATCAAACGTGCGACTTCAAAAGGTACGGGGCGTTTGAAACGGCATTTCTACACCCTCGAGGGATATCACTCGTGTGGCTACGTGACGCTGCGTGGTAGAAATGAAGTTTCTTTGTGTTCCACAACCGGAGGTTTAATTAATTTCATAATTGGAAAAAGCGCCTCTGTCCCAGAGTTTAATCACGCAATTTTCCTTTCTCGTCGCGATCGCATTTCGGCTGAAATTTGATCGTGTGTGCGATTTCTCGTGTACGAAAAACGACAGTAATCGAATTCTGTTCGCAGGACAGAAGACACTTTCGGATAGGTAGAATAAATCGGTGGTAAAAATCCCGCGATGAAATTGATTTACGTCGGACAATCCTGATCATAGTCGGTATAGTGACTCGTTTTGATCAAGCAGCCGTTTAAATTTCTCTTTAATTTAAGCAACGCCTCGTTCTCTGTGTTTCGAACACACCCGGAGTAAATCAGTTTACTCAATCGCGATTCGGCAGTGGTTCACGAGACTCGCTCGTGACATCGTTTAATTCACTTCAGTCCTGAACTCGAAATTGAAATTGGTCTAATTGTAAATCTGGGCGCGTCGGTGAACCAGAAATATATCTTTGTGGCGAGGAACGAAAACAATTTCGGCGTACGTTAATCACTTTTACGGAGCGAAATCTGGTTACTCCGTATGTGGAGATACGCGCCGGAAAAGGCTTCATATTCGCCAATAATAGACCTGTTCTGATCCATCCTCGTTTGCATGGAATGGATTCTCTTAGCAAAACAGACTCATCAAAAGTTACGATGCGGAAATGTAATCGCGAATCGCCATTTTCCATCGCAATTTTCCATAGATTGTTCTCAAATCATTTATCCTATATACCTATAAAAATCGACCTGGATATATTTGTGTAATTATTTTATATCTCATTTCAAATTTCTTATTTTAAGTTTCTTATTTATATATTATACATATATTTTTGCTTTATCTATTATATATATATTAACCGTATTCCCATATTCTAAAAATAAATTTTCTCTATTTTTGATTATATTGTATCATTTCGCCATCTACTGCTATGTCCACGCATACATATATATATTGACCTGGAACACAATAAAGCGTCTACCTATGTATGTGTAACTACGTTAACGTACATGCTACCGTACTCTGTAACTTGCCTCCGTTAAATATTTCAGACACCGTCCTCACGCTCCCGGTTTACCTTCTGTTGCAGGTTAATCAGCCCAACTTTACTTCAAACGTGACCTGATTCCGAGCCAGCTTGCCATGGATAGAACCCGACCCCGAGCTTTCGACGCAAACATAAAAATAAATATAGTGTGGTATATTAATCTAGAGGATACAACGTAACACGAAGACAAGGCATGAGACACCGGTATATAATAAGCAATATACTCTCCCGAGATGATTCTTTATCTTACTTTTGTATAGATGGAAAATAAAGCGCACTGTTCAGCCAGTTTCACCACCCGTGGAGGGACGGCGCCGTGCCGAGATGCACACGCGTCGCCTCCGCACGCAAGAAACGAGAACGAGACGCGCGCGCGCGCGAATCGTTTACGCGCGCGCTCGTCGATCGTTAATTAGTATATACGTATACTTAACTTGTGATTTTTGTATATAAATAAAAGCGTTTTGCCCAAGTTGAAAATCTTGTTGCAATTCTCGATCGCTTTATCCTTCCCATCCTTGGATTCGTATTTTCTTCTTCTGCTAGAAGTTAAACCAAGTTAATGCATGTATGCCATACAGGTATATATGTGCCGTAAATTGTTCAATAAATAATAAATGCGGCTTCAGCAAATTTTATTTTTCCAGTTATATTTATTTATTATCTCTTTACTAATAAATTGCGATAAAAATATACAAATTTTATCTTACATTAAAGTTGCATTTGTATTATTTTTTTAATGAGATGTTATATATATATATATATATATATATATAACTACAGGTTTCTTATTGCTTATTGCATGATAGAATAACATGTAGACATATTATATAAAGGTCATGAAAAGTTAGAAGGAATATTAGAAATAGTTCTTAAAGTACATACTTCGATGAATTACTTTTCATCATGTAGATTTTTATTTTTCACAATATTATTTATTTTTCTCATCGCGTTGCAACGAAGATATTCATTTTCCGACTCTGTTATTTAGATATCAAGCCATCAGAGAAGACTTGCGTGCACGCGAATAATTTTATGAGAAGATAGAGAGAAGCATTCTCGCTTTACATACGCATTGGTTATAAACGCAAAACACGCGGCATAAATACAGCGAATGCTAAATAATTGCAGGAGGGCTCGCGTTTATGTCGCTAAAAAATTTCCTCCTCGTGTCTCGCTCTTCCTTCGTTAAAAAGGTTAAAAACTGCGGATGCATCTTCGACCTCGCGCGTTATTATACGATTTATCGCTTCGTGTACATTTTTAATTTGCCCATTATTTTCGGAGAATGAATGTTGCTTCGCCTAGGGAGCAGTAACCTGGCGTATCTGACAACGAATCCGTTTCAACAATGAGTGCTAAATAAAAAAGATTGATGACTCGCACGCGAACGTATACTATTGTATTACACAGAGCGTCGCGGAAAATCTCCGACTACGATTTCAATGACGCGTCCTTTTACGAAATGCAGTGCTTTGTGATTACTGTATATGCGTGCATACGTATTTCGTCGAGTAAATGCATTTATGGAGATTGACAAGATGATTCAATAGTCAATAATGAAACTGCATTACGCAAGTAAAGCTAGAGAAGCTCACGAAAATGAAATGTCCAATGAACACAATTCTTGGTGTGATGTGACAACATTCGCGCGATGCTATTTACTTATATCACTTGCTAATAAATAAATATATCGATCGCTTTCATCAAGCTGATGTATTTTTTGTTTCAACTGGCTTCGATATATGCCTCATGTTTAAAGATCTGTCTTAATAACATTGATAAAGAAATGGAAAAAATTTTATGCAAAGACTCACTTCCTCGTTAGAGATAGATTTTTATGTACGTTATAAATAATGCTACATATTATAAATAATGGTTTTTACATCCACAGCATTACATGAATTACTTCGTTCATTGCGACATTTTAATCTCTAACTCATTTTAGTCTGATTATATACACTTTTCTATTTAGTTTTTTAATCTCTATCTGCTATTTCCAATCTTTGTATAACTTACGTAATTGTCCTTTTTGAATCCGCATAAATATAATCTTTAAACATAAACTTCAAAGTTAATTGAAGCTTAATCGCGTTTATTTCTAGTAAAATATGACGGGGAGAATCACGTGGGAGGTGAGAAATAAATATTAACTAAATTATATATTTACAAGAACGATGCTTAATAATTTCATCGCGCTATAAATATGCAAGAAAATTTAACATTGGATGCAAACAAAATATATTTGAAAAATGTCAGTTGCGATATCGAATAATTAACGCTTTATAAAAGAGGCATGGCTATAAATGAGCAAAGCTACAAAAAGCTGGACGCGTACATGAAAATTGCCACAAAAGGATTCGAATGGATATAAATGTTCCAACGACCCGTCGTATACGTCGCAGCTGTCGGGCGTTAATAATAAAAAATTACCCGAGTGCAATGCACATCGATCGCGAAAGGAATCCCGAGGAAAAACGAATGGATACACAAAGTGCGTTTCAAAGGTTAAATCACTGTATGTAGTATTTGCAACACATACTTGAACTCTATCCGTTTATCTACTTCTTTACAGAAATGTGCACAGACAACATGGTAGTTATATACTGAATTTTTCATTCCCTTTCACAAAGATTCGCGGATTAAAATTTCAAATAAATTTTACATTCTAATCACACATGCAAGATTTCGTTATATTGCATTTGTGATTTCTTTTCGCGTAGATCTTATATAAAAATAATCGATATTATTCAAACGTTAGTGATAAATATTGATGATAACGAGACAGTTTTGTGTATGTGTCTGCAACGTGTATGTCGAAAGCGCAGTGGCAGAAGTATAAAATTTCCGATACGTATTCGGAATCGTGATATAAAAGTAAAAGAAAGCGTTTCTTTTGTAGCGTGTGCATCAGTCTATAATAAAGTTCGAACCGGTATCATCGAGTGGCATTTGAAGCAACGTCGACGATAGCATAGGATACCTCGATCTATAAAAGGCGAATGCAAAGATAAACGCTCGTCAGTAGCATCGCGTTCGTAATATCTGGAAAACGAAGTATTACTTGAAATAAGAGAGTTCAGAATTGCCTGCCGGTTGAATCTCAAAGTACGTTGTCGCAATTATATATAGTTTGTATAGAATTTATTTTATATTTAAGACATTTTTTATACTAAAAAATGCTTTTTGCTTAATAAATTCCGAAATTATTTAAAACGTATATGCGTATAGGTATATGTACATATTTCTTGCTTATATTATACGTTTATTGCAGCTGTAGTTTTTACAAGAGAAAATTCTATCTGTCAGATAAATGTGCGAGATAAAAGCAAAAGTTATTGAGATCTTTATAAATTACAAATTTGTCATTTTTATATAGTTCTTAATTTTTCCCTATTATATATATACGAATTTTTAATTAACACTTAATATAAATCCGCTCGATATAAATCGAGTATTGTAGCCGCGAGAATATTTGCATGAAATTACAAATGAACGGCGCAATACGATTGTGATCAGCAGTCAAGCGTTAGACAAGTCCCTAATCCATCTCCTATCCCCCTCAGGATGAATCCGCACGTAATTATCTTGCTGAGCCTGGCGGCAATAATATCAGCGGCGAACGAGCCGATAGCTATCATCAGGCAGGAGCAGGACGTCAGCCCGGACGGTAGCTTCTTCACGAAATGGGAGAGCGCCAACGGGATAACCTTCGAGGAACAGGGGGTGCAAAAGAATTCCGGTCAGAAGGACAAAGAGGCCGAGGAGGTGCGCGGCTCGGTCACGTGGACCGCGCCTGACGGACAGAAGATTAATCTCGGCTGGCTGGCGAACGAGAATGGCGCCACTTTCCAAGGGGCGCATCTGCCGACTCCGCCACCCCCGCCGGAAATTCCGCCTGTCATCCAGCGCGCCCTCGAGTGGATAGCCGCTCACCCTTACAAGGAGGAGATAAACAGAGTGTAATCGCTGATGCGGTTTTGCTACAAACAAGCTTTGACCGATCATGTAGTTGTACATGTTTAACTTGACGTCGTATGTGAATAAAATTAAAAAGAAAAAAAAAGAATTTATATATAAAAATCTCTTCTGTATACTCTAAACAAACCTGTCATTTCATTCCTTGTGAGTGTATTCAACGACTTGATGAAACAATCACGCGTGCTGTGTACGATTAATTGGAGTAATTGTGATAAACTGGGATAAATATGTGATATTGAAACGTTTCGCCAGAGGGATAAACTCAGTTACAAAATTATTGAAATTGATAACAGCTTGTTTAATATATATTATCAGATTATTAAGAAGTAATTACGCTATCAATTATAACGTTGCAAAATATGACGTTATACACGCAGTGTTTGCTTCGATATAACATAATTATCTTGTTTGACTGTATAATTTAAACGATTCTATCTTCCATCGGCTTACCGCAGAGAATGGAGTATGCAAGGATAAGGGAGGGGGAGGGGGAGAGAGAGAGAGAGAGAGAGAGTTATTGATTTAAGATCAAAACATCTTGTAAACTTTAGACCTAATAATGCATAAGTCTGTACAGGTCCACGAATATAAATTTATCCATCGGTCACTTCGGATGTATTTTATAGAATAATTATATTATAAAATATTTTATAGATTTGTAATTATAATTATTTATTCTTCTATCTAATGCAATAGAAAGAAAATATTTGCCAATGCATTTGAAAATATATTGCTATCTTTCTCGAAGGTGAAGGCACTTTTGATTGTTAAGTAATTGAAAGCGTAAACAATCGATATTTACCCTTTCGACATACATTCTTCACCTATCTCATTAGAGAATTTGCGTTCTGTGAGAGACTATCTGACGTGAGAATAGCAAACTCATCAAGTTAGGTGTGGACACACGCCTCTGTGGTAATAGAAAAATCCGGGTCAGAAATGGTCATTGCGGCTAAGGAGAAAGACGAATCGTTATGTAAGTGAGTGATAGCGAGAGTTTCTTGCTGCCGCATTGTCAACCACATCGCCTTTTCGAAACCAGATATACAAATAAAGCGGTAGCTCGAGCAATTAGACTGCGGGTGAAATGTGCATCACTGAGAAGAAGAGAGAAAACAGGTTTGTTAAGTTGATATATTACTAACATTAAAATACGAAGGTAAATGAATAAATAATAAAATAACTAAAAATGAAGAATATAATATTACACAAATGATCAAAAATGTATAAATTGTAGAAAATATTGTAGGCTTTCTGTTCTACATAGCTTGAAATTATGTTAACAAGATGTACATATATATACATAGGGTTTACTTACGTATAATTAGAATGTTGCATATTATTCTATAGTAATTATACACTAATAGATGTTGCTGTTCATTTTAGTTAAACGAGCAAATATAAATAAATATAAATCAATCTCTTTTTCACAATTTTCCACCGTTTATTTTTTAATTTGCTTCTCCTTCATTTTACTTTTCTTCTTTAATTTTCTCCCTTTTGGCTAAAATGATTATCATCAAAATGAATGTGAGCGTAAACAAGCACGGATTGCTCGTCTGCGGGAATATTCACATACGCCAATTATTTCGCTAAATTGTTTACGGAGGCACGCGTATATGTGTTACGTTCGTGCGCCACCGCGTTTAATTTGATAATTAATACCAAGCGGCCGCTTCATAATTCGGTTATAAATTCTGCGAATCATGTTTCTTGATTGCGGCAGTAATTTCGATTCGACGGCACGATCATAATCGGTATTTGTTGAATTGCGAGCGCAAATAAGACTGCGATAGGTGGAATTAATCGAGGCCGGATAATCGAATTTATGGAACTATTAATAAACATTATGAGTCGCGTTGGCGGTATCGCGCCGATGTATCGCCGATACATCGCATCCTAATGCATATTCAGATTAATATTTTGTCAAACGTGAAATTGTTATAATATTTGTAAAATACGACGGTACGAATATTATAATATAATACCATATATATATATATATATATATATATATATAGTAAAAACGACATTCGTTTTGCGCAATGAATGTACTATACATATCGAAATGTATACCGGAGAAAAGAATTTCACTTTCTCTAACCACAGATGATAAAACTCATGTTAAGAGAAATGCTGTTATGTTAATAATATGGAATTAATATCTGATAAGTCAATTTTTATTGAATTTCAAATATCAGAAATAATGTGTAAATATTAATCGTTTTCCTCAATTCTTGAAATACATTTTAACTTTAAAAATATTTATATATTTATCCATCAATTTTTTATCTTAATTCGATCACGATATTAATTCAAGTTCTTCATATCTTATATAAACGTATAATATAATTTAATGTTGCATCAAAAATTTTTATTAAGAAATCAGACTACCAGACAAATTCTTGGGAAACTGCGCTTTTGGGAAATACGAAGCTTGTACACAATTCCTTTCTTCTCTGTGGGAATAAACTTTTCAAGAGATTCAACTACAAAGCTTGTGCGCCAGAAAGATTTATGTAAGTCGCGGTTACGTGATGCTGCAACAAATTTAGAACACGATTCACGCGCTAAACGGCTATACATGACGAATGTCATACCGCCCGCAGTGAAAGTTCAATGAGAGTACCGCGAAATGTAATCGGTTCCGGTTCCTCCACCTCCTTCTTCTCCTCAAACAGCCATCGGGTGTCAACGTTGACAGATCGTCGCTGGATGACCTTTTAGAAAGTCTCCGGATAGATGACCGGTCTGCGAAAAAGACGTCGCATGAAGATTATCGCAGTATCATCGTGACAACTATATGTCTCACTAATCTGATATCGTACGAGTATTATATCGCTCGATAACAAACCTTTTATACAGAGGCATTCATTGATTTGATCGTTAGAGAAGATAAGAGCAATCGAAGATAGAAGAAATGTGTTAACGCTGTGCATTTGTATCCCTCATCTTGGCACGACACGAAGTGACAGCTTCGAAGATTCCATCGCTCGGGACCATTCTTCTTGAGAGATAGCAGATCTCTTTATGTAGACGAATGTTTGATCATCGATAATAACTAATAGCGTAAATCATTCGGGATGAAAAGATTCATGAGGGGAACATCTCGGAGTTAATTTATATTTGTCATGCATCGACGTGAAATGGCAACTCTTGGAAAGAGAATTAAAAAAAAATATTTTTATTAATTTGCACCAACTATAGCCTACTCACTCAAGCAATATTATTAGAAAATATAGAAAGGTATAATCTCTAAATTGCTGTTAAAACTTCTTGAATCAAAAAGTTTATTTATGCATTAAAAATTTTTATCTGCTCTAATAGTCACTTTATTAAAATTTTATTATAACAGAATTATTTAAGAATTAGTATAGATTGTTAGATTGGAATAGTCATATATATATATATATATATATATAAATATTAATTGAGTAATTATATGTGATTATATCGAAAGCGGTTAAATAAGTTGTCCAAGTGCTCATTGAATCAAACGAATGTAAAAGAAAAATATTTGCAGTCTTCATAATTGCATTTTTCCTTTCTTTCTTTCTTGTTAAAAGTAGACAGCATCATGTAGATATTTTCGCATATATCTCAAAAGGATCTTAATAGGATAACAGTGCCTATCTCCTGCAATGCAACATTTATTCTTAATACACTGTGGCATATACCTGACGATGAGCTGATTACACAGTATAAATATACATGCTCATGTCTTCATACGTTTATATATCGTATATTGATACAATACAATAACAAAATATGTGTATGCATATAATATATATCCGATAAACAAGAAAATAGGAAAACAGAGCAATCCATATTGGCTTTGAGGGCGAAAACAGAGCAAGATGGCACAGCAACATTCCGAGTACCCTATCAAATATATAATGGATCTCTATTCGTGTTAACAAAATAATTACGTGAGAGATAGTGAAATCATACGTATATGTCGGATGGTGATGGTCGTAAACGGATATTTAATTCTCGTTATCCTCGGAAATAGCCTCTGTGTGCTTAATTGCTTTGTCAATCAATAATGAAGGTACTGTGATGTTATAATGGCGCTGAATATCATCGAGGTAATCGAGATAATAGTCGTCAAATTCATCGTATTTCGCCGTTATATGTCGTGCTCCAGCATCCTCCAGGTGATCTTTTTCTCGGCCTTGTGATTCGATTTGGATCCATCCGGATTGGGATCCTTCTGGTTCTGGCCAACGATTAATGTCACGTTGTCAGCGGGTGCTGTTACAGTGCACGCTACCAACGCGAGCAAAATTATCTGGTAATTAGAAAAGAATGAGGAGTTTTAAGAGTGATCAAATCAATGGCAATGAGCAAAATTATCTGGTAATTAGAAAAGAATGAGGAGTTTTAAGAGTGATCAAATCAATGGTGATAACGCGTTTATTTTGGTTACAAAAAGGTATTATATTTAATTTTGAGCTAAAAGAATCGGAGCTTAATTGATGTAATTAATGTTACATCATATTACATAAACATGATATTAAAATATTTTTAATAATAAAATTGATTATGTTTAAAAATTATGAAGAATAATGACATTCTTATTCGTTCAATAATTATCATTAAAATAATGAGTGTTGATTCATCATTGGAATATATTGTAGATAATAGAGGTTTATTGTCACAATTATATTTTAAATTGATTTTATTGTCACGATTATATTCTTAATTAATTTTGTTTTTAGGTCAGTATTTAATCAATGTACAATACTTTCTGACTTTATATTTAAATTTTCTTATATTTTCTTTATTATCGTTATTTATTATCACTATTTTTTTAGAGCTCTAATTATTATTTCAAATTAAGAATTTTCTTCTCAATAATAAAATAAGATCGTATTGCTCGTTCATGACCTTAATTAATTTATCATTGAATTTTCTTTATATTAAATGTATCTTTTACTAAATATTTAGCCGATAAATAAAAATCTTCAATATTGATTAATTGAACTCAAGTTGAACGTGACAATAAGTTACGAAATCATTTAAATATAGCATATTATGGCTATCATTGCATCAGAGATATAGAATCTACGAATGATTTAACGTAAGTGATGAGTTGAAAGTAAAAGTAATATTTAGCCTTGAAGAGATGACGATCAATTAATTTCGTAAAATTATTGATTGATCTATCCTTCGATATCAGATAGAATTTCGATGATAAAATGACAATTACGTGAATGAGAATGCATCGCGGCTCAAATGTAATTTAATATTAATGCACAATAATATATATATATATATATATATATATATATATATATATTATGTGATTTATTGCAGTATCACGGGGTAATTAGAAACAATGCTTACATACCGATGTATGTAGAAGCATCTTCAAAGTGTCACTTACAACAATGTAATTCACAGAACGCACACAGAGATTCGCTGTGAAATACACCGCTGAATTCAAGATCTAGCTACGATTGTCAGTATTATCACGCGACTCCATCGGAGTGCATAAATTGACTCTTCTTTACTCTATATTCGGAATTTTTTCTTCTTTATTAACGCTTACCAATGGCGTGTACATGCTGAAGCAATCGTTGATGAACAAGTGTTGATCAAGTCCCGCGACGCTCGTCGTATATATATCCCGGAAGGCATCAATACCGTCGATTTGATTCATCGATGATTAAAATGTCATGGGTAGGATACATAAGAAAAGTACAGAGAGGTCGGGATTATTTAAAAATTAGTAGATTATTAGCGAATGTAATAAATATTTTGAATCGTGATTATATTGAAAGCGATTAAATAAGCAGTAGAAATGCTCATTCCTTATAGAAATTTATCACTAGTAAGTTCAATTAATCACTTATTTCGAGTACTTAAATGACTGATATACAGTAACGTCTAGCAATTGAATTATTGAGCCTTTAGTAATTACAGTATTAAATTTCCATAAGGGATTACAGCAAATCAGCAATCAAAATGCTCACGATCTTCGTATAACATTCGTTATCACTCTACATAATTGATTGAGATAGCGAGTTAAAACAATTCTATTTTATTTACTTACACTGAAAAAATCCATATAGTTCAATGGAATATTTTTAATCTTGAAAATAAGAATATATTTCATATGGAATTACATATAATCTGTAATCTTCCATATAAATATAATCTTCCATAGCAATATTAAATGATTATGCTTGGTTGGAAAAAACCAAGCATAATCATGTAATTTGCACAAATATTTTTTTCAGTGCATATATATGTGTGCACGTGAATGTATATGTGTGGGTATGTGTATGTATGTAAGAAAGCCACATGCGGCAGTTGTATTGTACTTATTGCAATGTATATAATATTTTATAATAATAGCTGACAAATCAACTTGACTTACTCATGTAATGATCTTAATATCTACAATATCTATTGAATGCTGAATATCTATCTTTAGCTGCTATGTATCTCTAAGATATTAAATTTCGAAAATAATCATGACAAATTCAAAAATATTTTCGAGCAAATTTAATTAAAATAAATGCGAATAACTTTATTATGTGTATGACTTTAAAAAAATTTGATTTTAAAATTTTAAAATCACATTTAAATTCAACAAGCAAGTAAGAGCCAGGCGTAAATATTAGTGCGTCACTTCCAAGGAAGAATTAATTTTTCATTAAAACTAATGTACAATTTTTTAGTATAATATAAAAATTACATAAATGTCAATAATTTGAGATTTTATTTTTAGTAAACCCTAAAGAAGCGTAGACGAGAAAAATATCGGGAAATCGCTAACTCGAAAATGGAACGCGAATCTTTCGCTCTTTTAAATTTTAATTTGCATTTAATTTTAACGCTATTATACTAGCCATAAAATTTCCTGCATCCTTCCTTTCTGAAAATCTCAAGGTAGAGGGAATCTCGCACATATTTCGTCGAAAGGATCGGGCGTCTAATAGGATAACGGCGCCTCTCTCTTGGGATGCAACATCTATTCTTAATGTACCGTGGTTTATACCTAACGACGAGTCGATTGCATAGTCGAATAGGTGCATGCTTCACATATACGTATATATATATCATATATTAATACAATACAATAATAAAATATTTAAATGCACATAATATATATCCGTAAAGACATACGCAGTAAATATTTACGACAATTTGAATTAGAGCAATTCGTGTTGGCTTATTTGAGGGCGAGGACAGAGCGAGATGCACTGAAAAAAAAATTATTGAATTCAAATAAATATTTATTTCAATACTGTTAAATGAATCATTTATTTGAAACTAATAATATTTATTTGATATGGAAAATATTTTGATATAAGAAAATTCTTTTCAAAACAAATGAATATTTATTTATCGTTTATTTTCAACAAAAATTAATTTTTGTTGGAGATGTACGCAAGAAACATCCGTGTATGACTCTTAGACCTTTTTTATTTGTATTTAATATTTATTTATTTCAAATAAATAATTCATTTGGCAGTATTGAAATAAATATTTATTAATTTAGTCATTTTTTTCTGGGTGTGACACAGCAACACTCATCGTTCGATATATCATCGAGTATTATCGTGGATCTCAACTTCAATTCACATATATGCTGGACGGCAATGCGAGTCTTTCACCTAGTTATCATCATCCTCGGAAGTAGCCTCTCCAGTCAATTGCACCCTTTACCAATAGCGATGAAGCGTTAGCATTGTCCTCATAGAGAAAATAATCATAATCCGTCTCGCTTTCTTTCGTCTGCGCCTCTTTCTTATTGCTACTGACGTCCTTCCGGTGACTTTTTTCCTCGGTCTCGGTGCCGCTGCCAGCCTCGTGATTCGATTTGGATCCATCCGGATTGGGATCCTTCTGACTCTGACTGACAATCGATGTCACATCGTCAGCAGGCATTGTTACGATGCACGTTGCCAACGCGAACAGAATTACCTGGTGGAAAAGAATGATGAGTTTAAAAATATGATCGGAGACTAATCACGCTAACGTGTTAATTTTGATTACAAAAATGTACGTATTTAATTTTAAACTAAAAAAATTAAGTTTAATTGATGTAATTGATGTTGATTATGTAAATGTGATATATTATAATATTTTCCTAATAATATAACATTAATTGTGTTTAGAAAATTATGAAGAATAATGATACCTTTATCCATTCAGTAATTATTTATCATTAAAATAATTATTGTTGATTCATCATTGGAATATATTGTAGATGATAGATTTAATCACAATTACATTCTACATTTATTGATCTTATATTGGCACGATTATTCTTAATTATTTTTAGTTTTTTTAATTTAATTTTTAACTATATATTTATATATTTAATTTTTAACTTGTTTTAATACAGTATTTAATAAATGTGCGTTGCTTTCTGCAGTTTATGTTAGATGTATCTTTTATTAAATATGTAATTGATAAATAGAAATCTTCAATATTGATAAATGGAAATCGAGTTAAAACCTGACATAACGTTATGAAATTATTTAAATATTATGGCATCAACCACTGACGTCAATGTTACAGAATCTACGAATAATTTAACGTAAGCGATGAGTTGAAGGTAAAAGTAATAATTATCCTTGAATATGATGATCAATTAAATCTGTAAAATTATTGATTGATTTATCATTTATGGGTATCAGATAGAATTTTGATTAAAGTGAGAATTACGCGAACGAGAATACAACCGCAACGCGCGAATATAATTTAATATTGATGTGCAACGTTAAAATCTCTATATCCGAACCACTGAAAAACACGCATTATATCACGGTTTAGAGAGACCTAAATAATCTTAATTAATCATCATCCTGTGCAAGTTTCCAGATGCATAAACATCAGACGAACAGACGAACATTAGCCTTTTCGTCACCTTCCTCGTTTGACGTTTGCGTCGTTGTACAAGTATTTATGCAAAATGCATTAATGATCATCGCTTAGATATTCAACCGTCTCTTACGATGCGATTTGCACGACGGTTAGCAAAAACGGTGATTTAGCTACGCCGGTGTCACGAGATAATTAGAAACAATGTGTACACTCCTATATATATAGAAACATCTTCGAAAATAAAGTGTCACTTATAACAATGTAATTCACAGAATGCACACAAAAATTCGCCGTAAAATGCTACGATTGTCTCGCGTATTATCACCAGCTCGGAGTGTATGAGTTGACTCTTTCTTACTCTCCACTCTAAATTTTTTTCCTCTAATTAACGCTCACCATTGATGCGTACATGTTGCTGGACTAATCGCTGGTGAACAAGTGTTTCAGCCAAGTCCAAAGTCCCGCAGCGCTCGTCGTATATTATATACATATATATATATATATATATATATATATATATATATATCCCGGAAGGTCATCTGGTTGATTCATCTATGATTGAAATACTGTGACCAGGATTAGTAGATTATGTACTAGGGAATGTTACATAAATATAAGTTGACTCGTGATTACATCAAGAGCGATTAAATAAGCCGTCGAATGCTCATTGCACCAAAACGTAATCAAAGTGCTCGCGATTTTCGTATGACACCGTTACTACTCTATGTGATTGATCGCGTGCCAGACAAGTCCACTTTGTATGCATATATACATGCGCGCGCGCGTGCTGTGTAATAAAGACTCACGCGGCAACTGCGTTTATTGCAATATAATATCTTACAGTAATAGCTGACTTTCTATCGTAAATCAGCTCGACTTAATCCTGTAATGACCTTAATATCTACTACATTTATTGAATACTGAATATCAGATCTGTCTTTAGCTGCTATGTATCTCTGAGATATTAAATTTCGGAAACAATCACGAATAAGTTAAAAAGATATTTTTGTCTAAAAATTGATCAGAAGGAATGCGAACAATTTTATTTTGTGTGTTTCTTTAAGAATAGAAATTTGAATTAAAAATTTTAAATTTACATTTAAATTCAACGGGCATATAAGAACCAAACGCGGGTCATCGGTACATCAGTTTCAAAGAAGAATTAATTTTTCGAAATTGATTCGTTGTACAAAGATAACTAATATTTTTGCTATAAAAAATACATATATATTAAATAAATTTCTATAATTTCAGATTTTATTTTTAATAAATCCTAAAGAAGCGTAAATGAGAAAAATATCAAGAAATTGTTGAATCGAGGATATAATCCGAATCTTTTGCTTCTAAATTTTAATTCATATAACACACACTATAAGATGGAAAAGAGACAACACTATCATGTTAACCGCAAAATTTTCTGTATCCTTCCTTTTTGAAAGGCTCAAGGCAGAGAAAACCTCGCACATATTTTCGCATATATTTCGTCGAAAGGATCGGGCGTCTAATAGGATAACGGCGCCTCTCTCCTGGGATGCAACATTTATTCTTAATGCACCGTGGCATATACCTAACGACGAGTCGATTACATAGTCGTATAGATACATGCTCGTGTTTTCATATACGTATATATCAAATATTAATACAATACAATAATAAAATATATATATATATATATATGCATATAATATATATCCATATAGGCGTATAATAAATATTTACAACAATTTGAATCAGATCAATCCGTGTTGGCTTCGAGGGCGAGGACAGGGCGAGGTGACACAGCAACACTCATCGTCCGGTATATCATCGAGTATATCGTGGGTCTCGTCTTCCATTCGTGTTGGCGTAATAATTACATGAGAGCTCGTGAGATCACATATATGTTGAACGGTAGCGCAGGTCTACACCTGGTTCTCGTCATCCTTGGATGGATGAGCCGCGATCCACTCGAGTGCCTTCTGTATCAGTGGCGGGATTTCCGGTGTAGTGGGTAGATGAGCACCCACCGGTTGGAAACCGTTCCTGTCGGCCTTGTACGTCAGGGAGATCGGTTGACCGTCGTCGCCAGTGTAACTGAATCCGCCCTCCGCCGTCATCGCCTCGTTGTCGGTGCCGGCGTCCTCCAGGTGGCCTTCCTCCTCGGCCTTGATGCTGTTACCAGCCTCGTAACTCCACTTGTAGATCCATCCGGGTTGGGACCCTCCTGGCTTTGGCTGACGATCGGTACCACGTCATCAGCGGGCGCTGCTGAGGCGCACGCTGCCAACGCGACCAAGATTACCTGATGGTTACCGTAGGAAAAGGTATTAATTCAAGAACGAATTGGTCAAACGCGATAATTTTATTGCAAAAACGTACGCATTTAATTTTGAGCTAAAAAATATATTATAAATTTTATTGATGTAATTAACGTCAATGACGTAAAAAATGACATTTTACGATATTTTGTTACAATAAAATTAATTGCGTTTAGAAAATTAGGAAGAATAATAATATTTATTTGATAATTATCATTAAAAATGTTTATGATTATTTTTAATTAATTTTATTTTTAGTTTAATATTTATTAAATGTGTTTTTTGCGTTTTGCATTTGTATTAAATGTATCTTTCACTAAATATACACACGACAAATAGAAAACTTCAATATTGATTAATTGAAATCAAACTGAACGTGACATTACACTACGTTACGAAATCACGTAAATATTATGGCATCGACCATTGCATCAAAGTTATATAGAATCTGCGAATGATTGAATGTAAGCGCTGAGTTGAGATTAAAAGTAATAAATTCATCTTTGAAGATTACGATCATTTAATATCGTAAAATTATTGATTGACCTATCGTTCATCGATATCAGATGGAATTTCGATTAAAGTGGCAATTACGCGAACGAGAATGCATTTGCGGTGCGAATATAATTTAATACCAATGTACAACGATATAAAATGTACATCCAATCCACTGATATAACACACATTACATACAACATATTACATCGCGGTATAAAGAGAACTGAACGATCTTAGTCAACCATCACACTGCGCAAGTTTTCACGTGCATAAACGTCAGACGAACATTAGCCTTTTCGTCAGCTTCCTCGTTTGACGTTCGCGTCGTTGCACAAGTGTTTATGCGAAACGCGCTAATGGCTACCGGCACTTAGATATTCAACCATCTCTCACGACTTGCGATTTGCACGACAGTTAGTAAAAACGGTGATTTAACTACGGCGGTTTCGCGAAGTAATTAGAAACAATGCGTTCACTCTGTAAAGAAACATCTTTGAAAATATTGTTAAAATTTATGAAATTATATGTATAATATACGTTTTTCCGTCGTGATCGATATCGTTAATTCAATTTTAAACAATAGCGTCGTCGCCGTTGTTAAATCGAGCGAGCTGCGGCGGAGAGATAGCTCCACGAGAATCAGTGGAAACGGGCGCCGCAGTAGTGATACCGTTTTGAGTCAGACGCGACAGGAGTCGCGGTAGTAGATCAGCGTTATTAGATCAGACGCCGCGCCTCGAACGAAACGAACGATGTTAACGATTACATATTAATGTAATATTATGCTACAATACAATATATATGAATTATTATTACCTTTATTGTCCCAATTGTGTGACATGTTCGATGATTACAAATAAAATGATATTTCGAGGTAAGCACAAAACAATATATTGTTAGAACGCACGAGATATTATTGCGAGAATGTTAATTATATTATTATTGTTATAAAATTATATACAATTATATTATTGTTAAATATTGAAATAATTAGTTCTTGCGCTAAAATGACACATGAAATTAAAATCTTTCTTAATTGTTTCTCCCTTTTTCTAATTTCTTATAACGTAAAATTGATTGGTGGCTTAATATTTTTCCGTGAAATGACAAATTATTTTAGTTTAAAACACGTTGCACCGTATTGTTCGCCCAAGGACTTTGCATATATAAAAACGTATGCGCGTTACACGAAGATGACAAATTTCAGAGTGTATCCCCGACGGCAACGATCGATATCCTTACCGCCGATCCTCCGGGAGACGCTACTTACCCTTCCCGGTCTCCCGCCTCGTTCTACCTACCGACATCCTAGTCCCCCGGAGCTCTCCCGGTACGCTATACCGAATAATCGCGGAGTGTCACTTACAACAACGTAATTCACAGAAGGTTCGGGAGAACGCGCACAGGGAATCGCCGTGAAATGCACCGCCAAATTCACACGATCTGACTGCGATTGTCTCGCGCGGCTCTATCGCGGCGTGCACGAGAGTTGGCTCTTCCTTATACCATTCCGAAAATTTGTTTCCTCTTAATTTAAACGCTTACCAATGACGTGTACATGCTGCAGCAGTAATCGCTGATGGGCAAGTGTTTATCAAGCCCCGCAGCGCTCGTCGTATATATACCCCTGAAGGCATCACCAACACCACCGTCGGTTTGATGCACCGATGGCTACCATGTCACAAGTAGGATGCACATAGGATGCACATAGAGGGGCCGCGATTTACACGGATTTACGTTTAACACACGTAACCTGTATAGATGTATGTTTAGATACGTGTGTATGTTGCCGCCGTAGGGAACTCGTACGGAGGGAACGTGGAGAGACGACACACTCTACATCGACATCGTGGAGAGACCATCTTCCCCGAGATCACTATGTCACATTGCGCTAAATGTCATTGGGTCCCCGTTAGAGGATGCTTGCTTAATTATCATCTTTAACGATGTGCGCGGCAAATCTTTCCTTTCTGTCGATTCTTTTTATCCGGAAATGGATTGTGTGTATGTTTTCTCTGGTACAGTATTCATTAGTACGTTTGAATATACATGTATTTGCTTTATTATTTTATTGATTAATTATAATTAATTGGAAACGTGATTATTTTTTAAAATTTGACTATTGCGCAAGAGATGTTTAATGCTTATATAACTTTCCTTATGTCTCTTTAAGTTTTCATCTCTTCCACTATTTTTTCTCTTATATCGAATTTAAGAAGGATTCTACTGAATAATGCTTTCAGATATGAAGATTCTATTTTTAATAAATAATTTTCTACATTGTTTCTCAATTATTTTTTAAATTATTTTTAAGTACCGTTAATGTTGCATAGAGATTAAAAGTTCGAGAGTAAAAATTAAATGCTATGTTTAGAAATCTATTTATCATTATCGACAGTTTTATATTATGCATATTTGTAAAATAAAAACAATGTTTTTCACTCGAACAAACGGACACGCGATACAAGTATGGGAATAGTTTAACCTCGTATTTTCTATTGAAGGCTTATTAGATACACTGCTCATCGTTTCGTTATTTTTCTTTAGCAATACACGAATGCAATAAAATTGAATTGTTTTTCCACTATTTCCCAGTCATTAACCGGCAATTCTTCTGTTCCATCATTCGCGTAAATATTGCGTAACGTTACTCGCGCGTCATTATTAACACGCGTTTCGCGATTCTAATCGATAAATCACGGCATCATTAAACAATCAGTCGAACGTTTGTCAAATAGCTATTTACCACGATTTTTCTAATCGTAGTGGAGGCCAAATTACTTGGGCGCTCGCTGGAATTTAGCGAGGCAAAATGAAACTGAACACTCGCGCATCAACGTACGACACATGCAGCTGCATCGCGTCCGTTCTAATCAATCGAAAGCGACCTGACAATCTCTCATTATCGAGTGATAATTATATGGAGTTCGCACTATATCGCATTTACATTGTCATGAATGAACTTTCCGTATAGGAAAATAATGAATTGGGATTACATTTGTTGCGCAATGGAGAAATTTGAAGAAAAACCGAGCGGAAATCTGTGTTTTTAGCGCAATGAATTACTTCAATTTTTTTGCCAATTGTAGAAATGTTATTCTTTGGTACTCAGGTATGCAACAATTTCGTCTCTGCATAGCAAAATAAGATTTTTCTTTTGAATTTTCAACGCGAAACCACGTAACGCGCGATAGTACCTTGTTTCTTATTATGCAACATGATATGCACGATACGTCTTGATACGGCTGATTTAAAGCGATGCATGTGCCGGAAGCTGCACGGGATTATGCATGTACCTAACATGCGTATCTAATTAATAATCAATGCTATTCCGTCGGGATGTTTGAGATTGTCAGTAAATATCCTCGATCAGCCATATTAATGTCTCTGCATAATTTCCAAAAGGCTTTATATCTGTCTTGCAAATTCTGTATAAAAATGTGGCTATCGAAAGATACAAAGAGAGAGAAATATAAGATATTAATTTGAAAAGTCAATCTAGGGACATATACACTCAAACGTAGCATAAGACTGCTTAGCTGTCAAACTCTTCAGTGCCAATAAAATGATAAAATAGAGCTGAAATTACGTAAATTAGAGTAGCAGAGCTTATGTCAGAGAATCTCTTTTTTTTCTCCTCTTCTTCGGAGGAACTTTGGAAAAGTGGGATGAAGGCCGTCCATTTTCTCCGTACGATTATTGATCGTGGACATTACCGGCGAAGTATACCGATGTAACATTAGACAGAATCCGTCGGGGGGAACAGTGAATAATGCCTCGATAGGCGTTAGTTTTCTTCTTTTACGGGAAATGTAAGAAGCACGTAGCACAACAATAAATTCTCCCGTGTCTCTAGAAATGCCAGCTGCTCGCCGTGTAGCCACGTCGTGTACCAGCGTGATTCACAAAGTCACGTCATCGATATATTTGAATGATTTTCTCGAAGTCTGCGCATTTGCACTTTTAAGTTGCTTTAGAATGCATGAAAAGTCGCGGTTGATTTAAAATAATTCATCAATCGGAGCTAGGAAGGGAAAGGAAACTAGGAAGAGACGAGTGTTGTATGTTTCTCCTGAAAGTCGAGGACGCTCGACATGATAAATGCTAAACTGGCGCCTCGCGATTGTTCATTGAATATTTTAACGTGCCGTGGATAATAATGAAACGTCTCGGTTCACGGTAGAGTAATATATTACACAATATTTTCACGGTAATGTAATATTCACAAAATATTGTGCAGAGACTGTCCAATACGTACAATTGTGTTACGAAATAGTTGATATACATATTCAAATCAAAATTTTTTACTTTGATCAAAAATATTTTTTTCAGATTTTATTAAGAGAAATAAGAAAGAAAAATTTTTTAAATTATACAATTCCTTTTAAATATTCTGGAATAATATTGCTATTATATAAACCTATAAAAGATTGAGCACAAAAATAGTGTAAATCCTTTTATAAAAGAAAATTGTATTTAACTTTTTTCAATTTTTATTTGTGACTCAAGTTCACATTTTTACCGCGAATTTGTAAGATCTTTTGTGGAACGATCGTTTCAAACGCATAAGAAATATTAACTGAGGAACGGATTGTACGGATCGTTATCTGATTGATCACGAGATGACCGTCTGGCAAATATAGGGGAAAGTTAGCGCGATATGCGCGCGCGTTTGGGCATTTAATTAGCTGTATTACATAACGCGACCGCGACGCGAAGGCAGGCACATAGAATGAGCAAATAAATATCAGTCGTGAAAGCGGCTAACTGGGTAACGTGTGCTATCTCGGGATTTACGAGTGCATCTTTTTCCGAAGAGGCTACACCTCGAAGAAATCCCGAAGAGAACACTGCGATTATGCGATCGTAAATGCAATAAATTTTTTTTATCGTCAGATTCACTCTCATCGCATCATTAATTTCTTATATTTCTGAGTAACATTTACCATTTTATCTAATCGTTTATTAACGCGCACATAGAGTCTTTCGAGTCGTTGCGGATGTCACATTGCTTTATAGACATCGATAAAAAAAGAAAAAATAAAAAAAAATATTTTTATATAAATTTTATCACGTTTTTTTTTACCTGCGTATTATTAAAAATGGTAATATTATAAAACTTGCAACTTTGCGCTTAATATACTATATATAAATTATTATTTTATTCAGATGAAAAGATATCAACTTTTATATTTTCATGTACTTATTCTTGGACATCATGCAATACGTCTCGTTATTCAGTACAATTTAAAATATTTACAATTGGCAAAACCTGTAATTACGATTTCTCGAGCAACACGTCGCTTCGCTGACCAACATCGCGGACGATGCACTCTCGATGCTTCTCATTTATTATTCACTTGACAGATCAAGTACCATTTCGGTACGGACATATTACAACTGGCCGTATTCCCACCTCACTTTATATTGTGCGAAATTTATAATTATAATACAATTGTCATTTTCTTATACGAGACGAACGCGATAATGAGAAAGTTATATCACATAACAATATTTCATTGCTTTAAAAACGATGCCCTAATATCGTATCGCGTTCTTGAGTCTGGTCGATCGTGCCATAATAGGTTGCGTCTTCAAGATTAATGTTCGATCTCCGGGATCTTTTCGCGAGATCTGAACTCGCGGCTTATAAGACATATCATTCTGACGACCGTGATTCGAATGTATTCAGCGGAGTTTTCTGGTATATGCATCTTCAATTGCTTCACACAATTCCTATATTTACCAGAAACTAAAATAATATATAGATCAAACATTTTTGTGTTAAAAAAAATTGTATCTCAATTTTGTACCTAAAATTAAAAACATTAATTTTTAGAAGATTAAATAATCAAACGAAAAGGTTTTGACATAAATACAAAAATTCAGGTATAAAATGGGGTAATGTAAGAGTCAGGTGCAGACGGTAGGCGCAGCGAATTTTTCTTTAAAATCTTCTTTAATTAACTTGAACATCTCAGTCCTTTCTTTGGACCATCATCTTCAGCAAACTAATTAATAAAAAAATTACAGAAAACATTTATGCATCTTGATCTTCATTTTCGTTTTATGTCTTTAGTAAGTACATATTTAATTAAGCAAACAAAAATAAGATAAAAAATGAAAAGCGAAAAATGACATTCTGATATCCATGCATGATATGCAAAACAGTAACACACATTTATATAATAACTTATTATAAATTTATAATATATATATAATTTCATTTAATTAAATTATAAATAAATTATTAATATATAATCCATAAATAATTAATGTATAAATTAAATAATAAATTATTATATAATAACATATAATAATATGAACAATTTTAGAAAAGTCATTAAATATTGTTTTGCTTATAAAAGAGTAGTGAAAAATGGAGATAATTTTATAAAAAAAAGAATTATAAAATGTAAAAAGGAATGATAAAAAAGAGAGAAAGAAAAATGAAAAATTAAAAAAAGAAAATGAAGAAATTAAAAAAGATGAAACATTAATGATTTTTAATAAAGTAAATTTTTTAGAGTTTTATATCAAGAATTATTTTATAATTTTATTTGATTACTTAACGCGATAAGATTTCTCTATGATGAAGTTTTAAAATTACAAAACCGATATTGTAATTGTGTGTTGTTATACCGAAAGCTGCCAAGGCCTATGCAAGGATCAATTTTCATAACGACGATGGGC